ACTGCTTCCCATTAGAAAGTAAGGTCCTTGCCAATAGAATCCTTGGGCTCTATGTCCCTAATTTATAGAGCACAGCCTGGTAAATAGTAGGCTCCGAAGACTTGTTTGCTAAATGAACAAATCAATTCACATATGAAGGTTATTTCCATAGCACGTTTCCCCACTGAATCTTTTAGAAAAAGTTAAATAAAAATTTTGCACAAGAGTACCTTATTTGAGCAAAATGTTCTCCTTGATGTCTTATTTTTGTTATAATCAGAGTGAAATGTCAAAGACTATGAAGATGCTGACTAAATGATTGATGTACTAAGAAAGGTCTAATTTATTTAACATTTTAATTTAAATTCTTAGGGAGAATTCTAAAGCAGGGATGGCTTCAAAAACCATTGATATTTGGAGTTTGAGTGCTAATATAGATATGAAGGGCCAGAAATCGATGAGGAGTATGCTGGAATGTTTAAGAGCTGGTTTGGGACAGAGAAAGTCCTGGGTGCATATTTTAGACTGTAATTCTAGGGCACAGGAGCCACCTTCTCTGGCTCTCAGTTTTTTTCATCTGTAACATGGTGTTAATAGCATCACTCAGAGTTGTTATGATGGTTATGCGTGATAATGCTTACAAAGTAAACAATATGGTGTCAGGCATAAAGTAAATGATCACTGAATATCAGCTAGTATAACTCAGACATTACTTATTTTACTCTTCAAATTATGAGACTAGCTATCAGGGTTCTCCCAGCATGGACAAGAGCTAGTTTACTGGGGTCAGCCACAGTGTGGGAAGTCACGTGAATAATGACATTTTCTTAACAAATAAGAATTTTCATTATACATTAAACCCCTGATGAATCTGGGTGGCTCTAGAACTAATTTCACTGAAGAACTATTTTTTTTTTTAGGGGCACTGGGGATTGAACTCAGGGGCACTCAGCCACTGAGCCACGTCCCCAGCCCTATTTTGTATTTTATTTGGAGACAGGGTCTCACTGAGTTGCTTAGCACCTCGCCATTGCTGAGGCTGGCTTCAAACTTGCCATCCTCCTGTTTCAGCCTCCTGAGCCGCTGGGATTATAGGTATGTGCCTGGCAAGAATTGTTCTTCATAAGCATGTTTGGGGTACCCATCACTGAAGCTGACTTATGAAGAGCCAGAGGAAAGATGAAGGTCACAGGGATGGGACCCTACCCTGATCAAATCAGGTCATGAAGATTTTCTATGTTTTCTTCTAAACATTTGATAGTTTTTGCTTTTACACTTAGAACCATGATCTATTTGCATATGATATGAGGTAAGGATAAAAGTCAATTAATTTTGGTGCATGGAAATCAGATTTTTCCAGTGCCACTTGTTAAAAGAGTCTAGTCACATATGTTCTTGGCACATTTTATTTCAAATTGCTGTTTTATTTTATGTTAACAATTCTAAGACTATATTAAGCAAAGAATATAAATGGGCAGTTTGGAATTTATGTAGTATATAGTCAAGATTAAAAGGATGAATTCTGGAGTGTCCTGGGTTAGAATCTCAGTACTGCTATTTACTCTCTATGTGACCTTGGCCAATTTTATTATTAGTTTTAAGTTTAACTCATTTACCTGTACAGTGTATATAGTAATAATACCTCCTTCATAGGATTAGAACCTGTGTACGGGTTAATGTCAAGATTATAAAGACTGGGGCTGGGGCTGTAGCTCAGTGGTAAAGCACTTGCCTAGCACCTGTGAGGCACTGGGTTCGATCCTAGCACCACAGAAGAATGAAGGTAGTGTGTTCATCTACAACCCAAAAATATAAAAACAAAAAGATTATAAAGACAAAGAGATGTGAATTGCCCATCTTATAGCACTTCATATAATAATGGTCTTCAAGAATGTGAAACCTTGTATTTTATTCTTTCATTCATGCTTTCAACTACAGTTACTGAGGTCATATTTTGTAATAAGCATTGCAACTGCACTGAGCTTAAAGTGATAACATTGAAAAATATTATTTTTTATTAGCTGAAGCCCAAGGAAGCCATTTAGTCTCTAGGTCCTTTCTTGAGAGTCAGCTGTGAAAAGCTGGTGAGAGCCGTGCTGAGTGGCTTGCCCAAGATAAATACCATGAGTCAGGTACAATGTGACCTTCCTCTCAGCCCTGGGTTGGCCTGGCCTCCGGCAGGAAGCCCATTCAGGCTTGCCTTCCTTCATGTGGCTTTCTAGTGGCTATACCAATTTGATTCTAGGCCACAGGGAAAGGTCCAGAGACTAGGGAAAGTTCAGTCCTGCCATGTTTAACTTGTCTGTGTCACACTCAATATTGTTGTGACAGTTTCAGAAAGCAAACACATTGATGAACCAAGTGGCAACCAAGACTGAGAGGACATAAAGCAGATGGGTATCGCTGTCCAGGTCTTACCTGATGCGCCCACCAGACCATCAAATAAGAGAAGGCTGCGATCCAGGTGATGGAGCCAAAGAATGTGATGGGAAAAAATTTCCTTGATGACTGAAAGACAACCAGAGGAGGCAAGAGTCAGGGCTACCAGTTGTGATGAACTTGACAGTCTAACGCTAAAACCACCTGTGCAAACACTGTCCTCCCATTTCCTGCATTTTGGTAAGACTGGCAGTCCAAAGGCCTGAACTCTCTCTCATCAAGTTGCATAAAATTCTCTCTTGGAAATGTGAAATTGGTGGAAGTGGAATGATTGCAATGCTGGTTCCTGGGTTGGAACTCTCTTAAAGAGAATATGTGTTAGTTCCTGCAGTTAGATGTTTAAACACCCTCTCCTCCTGCCCTGTCTTAGGCCTGGTTTCTCAGTCTCTCCTTCCGTCTGTTAACTACATCATATTCTCCCTCCATCTCCTTCCCTCTTTTTAGATTGCTCACAAGTTCATCAGAATAAATTTCTACTGCTTACAAATGTTGAATTCTAATAATCCATATGCCAGAAAACCTATGCAATTAATTACATTAAACAAGAAATGGGAAGACTTAGTATGTTTAAAAATAGACTGGATCATCTTACAGTCCGCATTTATTATCAGGAAAGCCATCCAGGAGGCACTACAGTAGTTTATATAAATTCCTGGTGATGGCCAGTTTCCCAGACACGGGACTCCATGTGTCCGCTGGAGAGGACAGAGGTGGAGATGCCCAACTGGGCTGATCTCCACTGGTGGGCAGGGGCAGGTCAGACCTTGTTGTTGGGAGTGTTTTTTTCTCACCCCAAGCTACATTATGTCTAGTTCTGCTTCTTGCCTTGAACTTTGTACAATCTCAGGCTTCTATTTTGAGCACTTTGAAAGTTTTCTAGGATCATCAATAAAAAATTAGATACCCAAATGCAGTGTTTCATACCTGGCCTCACCACATAGACGTCCAGGCTTGCACTGAACTGTTCTGTAGATGCCCTTTGTGGAATATTTGGAATCTCTCAAAACATGCTCAGACAGCAGGAAGCTGTCTGAGAGTCTCTCACCTATTATTATCAAATACTTTTTATATATAAAAATACTTTTATATATTTCAAAGCTTTCCATATTGAGAAAAAATCCCCTCCTTTTTTTTTCACTTTGATAATGTCATCTAGCTTTGTCCAGAGAAAACAAATCCTGGAGTTGACCTGGATAAAAGTAACTCAATTGTCTGAAGGGCTGGCCTGGGGTGGTTACAAAGAACATTTTCTGCCATGGGTTTTTTAAAAAAAATGTTTTAATTATTGCATTATAGTTATACATGATAGCAGGGTTCATTTTGATATAATCATACATGCCTGGAATATATATGCTTAAACACCCTCTGCTCCACTGCAGTCCTCAGTACTACCTGGTTTCCTTTCCTTGTCTCTCCCCCTAGTCAATTTCATTCCATGTTCCTCCCTTTTCATGTATCTCCCTCCAATAGTCTCCATTGCTCCAAACTAGGTTTATGTTCTCTATTAATTTCAAGTTTTCAGTAAATGTTGTTATCACTCACTTAGACCTTAAATTTTATAATCATTGTTTTTCTCTCTAAATGACTGCTGCTTTTTTGGACCATTCATTACCTGGGATGTCTGAAAGATCAAGAGGACTTGATTAAATTGTGGGAGGACATCAGGCCACAGCGAGTAACCAAAACCTTCCCCTTAAGTGCTTCCCTTGTTCCTTCCATTTCTTAGAAGGAAAATATTTTGGGCAAGGACTCAGGTCCCTGGGAACACTTCTATGGGTAATGGGGGAAAAATATTTTTTAAAGGAGACTGAGACACAGCCCTATTTTGTATTTATTTAGAGACAGGGTCTCACTGAGTTGCTTAGTGCCTTGGTTTTGCTGAGGCTGGTTTTGAACTTGTGATCCTCCTACCTCAGTCTCCTGAGCTGCTGGGATTACAGGCATGTGCCATAATGCCTGATGAGAACTTCATTTCTGAAGGTAAATTTCTTTAAAGCTGGGAATACAGCTGGATTCTGGAGAGCAAATTTCCTGAGCTTGGGCTAAGAGATCAAGTTTTCCCAACAAGGCATCTAGCTGATTGGACCTCCCACCTCTTCCATCTGGTCATGAGTCACTGTCTCAGGGTTCTATGTATTGCAAAGTTTCTGATCCGGGGTCCTCCTGTGTTACAGGGAACAGAAGGGCCCTTCTTGCCATGTGGGGCCACACATGATTTAAGCATTAAACAGTGCTTGATTCTGACCATTGCATGAGGGAAATGAAGAGCTTCTCCCTACTTTAAGGTTTAGCGTCTGTGCTGCATGTCCTGGGAGAGTCTTCATTTCATAGATTGCTCACTTTTCATTTGGCTCACTTACTAAATGTGTAATTGGTATTCATTTTCGTATTTAATTTTTTTTTTACCTTTGCACTTCTGCTCATTGAAGTGACTTCACAAGTCAGAATCAAATCACTTGAATTGATTTCTCATCTGAAAAATGGCATCACTGAACTACAGAATAATCCCAGGCAAAAGGTAGAAAGCAAGATATCTGTCTAAGAACTTAATGAAACTAAATTGAAACAAATCTGTTAGAACTTCTCTCATTCAATACATATGGGATAAAACAAAATTGGGCCATTGTAAATTGAGGTGAAGTCACTTTCATCTCTTCTTCATGGTCTAGACAGTGTTTTGGGTATATATATATATATATATATATATATATATATATATATATATAAAAGAACTTCTCTCATTCAATATTTAATGCTGTGATTATTAATCAAGAAACCAATTAGTAATTAATGGGTAACAGAAAGTACCTAATGTTATATTAGGGCATCATTAAAAAAGGTTTAAAATCAAATGTGTGAATTTTCAGGGTTTTCATCATAAACTAAGGGTAAGTAAAGGATGGGCACTTACTTTGCACCTAGATCTCCAACTAATGATAACATTCAAACTTGGTCTGCCTGACTACACTGCATGTATTCCTAACATGTATGTTACACTGATTCTTTTCTAAAGAAAAACCAATCGTGCTCAAAATACACCCAGCTATAGACATAATGATGATGATCATCATAATACTAGGCTCTGCTCTGAATGTCGGAAAATAAAAAAAGCATCAGGGAAACAGAGACTAGCATTCCAGCTGTATGGCCATCTGCCTCTCCAACCTCCCATATTGTTCCTGCTTCAGAAGTTTTGTGACCCTTCACGCATCAGCAGTTTGCCTAAGTGTTTCCCTGTCAAACTACCTTGCCGTGCCCAATCTTACAACCCAGGCATTCCTTCCTCTTTCATATTTTTATGGACCGTTCCCCTTCTTTGGACTCTATGACTTCATTCCAGATAGCACTTCCCTGTAGCACCTGTGAAGCTGTTTAGTTACCAGTCTCATCGAAGGGAGAAAATATCCCTTCAAGCCAAAGTCTAACACATCAATGTATGTTTAGTCTCATCCTGACATCTGTTGGGATAGGCCTTGTACTAATTAGCAAATAAGCAAATTATGTCCATGTGCTGCCTATTCTGTTTCCAATGTAATGGTTTACTTATACAAATGACAGTGAATGTTCTCATTAGAAGCTTTTAGTACACCAGAGTGGTATTAGCTTGGCTTGAAAAAAGTTGCTGGACATTAGCTGGCTGCATAAATTGGCCATATTCATACCCATTTAAATTCAACAAACATTCATTCAGCATCTACTCTGTGCAAGGTTCCAAAGTATATGTTTTTTCCTTGTGGGGGTTGGGAAGAGTGAATGGGGGTCTTGCTATGTTGCCCAGACTGACCTTGAAATAGTGATTCTCCTGCCTCAGCTTCCTGAGTAGCTGGGGTTATGGGCCTGTAATCTACCACACCCAGCTTGGAATATACATATTTAACAAAGTTCCCCACAAAAATCCCGTTAAGATTAAAAGTGTGGCCCCTGGATTAATATGACTGGTTCTGAAATCTCTTCTCACAGATTACCAGTGATGTGTCCTTAGACCAATTACTTAATCCTCTTAAACTTTTATTTCTTTATTTTTAAAATGGTAGAAATATAAAAATCTAGTTGTTCTGAAGATTTTACATACATAAAACGTCTAGCAAAGTGACGGGCACATAATAATTGTAGCGGTTATTAGATTTATAAAGCTTCATTTTATTTTTTAAGGAATGAGGAAACTGACACTTGGGGAGGTGTCAGTGACTGTGGAGACCTGATCTAGAGTCTTGGCTTTGCCTCTTACTTGGTTGATTGTGTTTGAACAAGCTGACTAAACCTCTCTGGGTCTCAATCACTTCATTCTTGCTATAGCTGTGGTTGGCTCATAGTAGGCATTCAATAAATACTTGGCAACTGAATAAATGATAGACATTGCAAATATCTAGCTGTGTTCTCAGATTCCTTTTCAGCTGTAGTGTATTCTGTTTTCATAAATCATGAGATGCATTCCTAAGAACATCCATGCTAGGCCACGAGAGAAGAGAAATTCGGGAGTCTTTATTTTGCTTTTTATTTTCAACTTTTCACCAAAAATATGTTCATATTAAAGTTTACATTTTAGTTGTTTTACTTTTAAAACAAAGTCACTAATTTAAGAAAACTATAAATGTGAAGCTCATATTAATTATGTGAGCTGAATGTGTACGTGATCCAATAAACACTGTCAGGTAATTTGCATATAAATGAAGTGGAAATAAAGACAAGTGGGAGTACTATTTACACTGAAACTAGAAGTATACAATCATGTTTTCCTTGTAATTATTGTTAAGGTTTGGGATGCTTATCTCTAGGAGTAATTAAAAAAACCACTGAAAAGGCAGAGATGCCAGGCCTCAGGATTGCCAAATATCTCTTCTTAAGTTTCTCCTCTTATTGCTGTTCACGGACATTTTCTCAGGATCTCTTTGTGGAAGCATATGAGGCCTATGGTAGGACTATATAAATGACCACAAGACTTGGCTGCTCTTCTCATCAGGAGGACAGGTCTATCTCCTCACTCTTAGAGTCTGGCCTGGCTTTATGACTTGCTTTGATCAGTAAAATATGGTGCCAATAACAGTGTGTAAATTCCAAACTAGATCTCAAAAGGGCTTTGAAGCTTTTATTCTTGCTGCTCTTGGCACTTTACCATCCTGTGATTAAGTCCAGGCTGGCCTGATCAAGGATTAGAGGCCACATGGAGCAGGGATATACTTCCTGCTCAAATACTCTCATGCTAACCAGCAGGCAGCAGCAGAAGAACTGACTAGCTGAGCCCAAACCAATCTGCCAGTTCAGTATTGTGGGTTAAAATTGCTTGTGGTTTTAAGGTTGGGGTGTTGTGTTATACACCGAAGGAAAGTGATAAACAATCAAATCTAACAAGACTCTTCTGCACTAGCATGATCAAGAGGCATCTTAATGGCCTTTGTATCAACGGGCATGGTTTCTTTCACTTGGCATATCATGTTATATAGAATAATCTACTTCCAAACCAGTATGTTTTGACAATAAACTGGGACTATCCTGGGAAATTTGGGATATAAGTTTACCTTAAATTTGCAATATTTTACCAATGGTTATCTTTGTATTTGTGCTGTCCTTAATCACAGACTGTTTGGCTAACATTTTGCCTTGAGATTTTTCCAACCCTTTATTCACAGTAGAGGAAAAATATGGACAGAGTTGAAAAGTGCCTTTTGTAAGGCTACACACAGGGAACACCCACTGTAGAATGTGGCAGTCAGGAGACCTGGGTACAAGTCCAGCTCCTTTTACTAATGCAGTGAAATAATCTTGCCTTGTAATTAGCTGCATATGAGCATGCCTTTTTTCTTCTACTGAACTTAATAGAAATTGTGAATTTTGTGTCTTTATATCTCTCAAAGGGCCAAGCCCAGTGCTCAGAATATAACAGGTATTCAACAAATATTTGCTGCAAAAGTTTTAAAACAACCAAATATTCCTCATAAAAATCTTATTCCTGCTTGGAATAACACATAATATGTATACTCAGAAAAACACACATTCTAGTTGGTCCATGGTTGGCACTTGGGGAACAATGAGGAGAAGCCCATTGGCCACCTGAGCCCAGGGGACAGGGGCTGGCCCTCAAGTGTGGGCTGCACAGGGAAGGACAAGTTTGTGGTGCAGAGCAGTGCACCATTTTCCTGGATCATTCTCCACAGTATCACAGCATTGGCCACAGCGATTGTCACGATCCAGGTGACTGCTGCCTTGGTTAATTCTGGTTTGTTTTCCAGGAGTTGTTATTGGGGAGTTTTTGATGTTCTCTCACAAGCTTCCTTGACCCTTTGGCACAATACAGGATGAACATTTTGCCTGCCTTTGCTCTAAGAGTCCCGCCCAACCCTGAGAGCCCAGGGCCTGCGGTTATTGGCATCTTCTTCCTGTTCCCACACAGCTTCCTGGTTGCCTCTGTGGTTTGCGCTGACACCCTCTTAGCCAGTCAGCCCTCTTTCCTGTGAGGGCCATGGCGCACTGGGCCATCTGGAGGGATTTAGAAAACCATAGCTATCTCCCTGATTTCCCTCCCTGGGGCAAACAGAAGTTCTGGAACAGCATAGAAATGGAGAGAGAGAGAGAGAGAGAGAGAGAGAGAGAGAGAGA